CGACATGACTCCGTCAGTGACGCTGAAGAATGGAGAGCGACATTTCGCGGATGTTATCATTGCCGTCGACGGTACGACCAGATGTTCACCTTTCCCACCACAGAGCAAATCAAGTGTGCTAACATGGCCTTCCGCCCTTCTAGGCATCAAGTCACGGGCACGGGAGCTGGTGCTCGGGTTCGACGACAAGCCCAAGTCGTCCGGGTACGCGTGCTTCCGGGCGTTCTTCAAGGGCGACAAGCTGAAGGGCGACCCCCTGACGGCCGAGTTTGTCGAGAACGAGTGCGTCAACATCTGGATCGGCAAGGACATGCACGTGGTGCAGAACACGCTGCGCGGCGGGGACGAGTTCAACTGGATCATCACGCACAAGGACACGGCCGACATCCAGGAGTCGTGGTCGCAGCCGGGTGACATGGACGAGGTGCGCCGGCTGGTGACGACGCTGGACCCGCGCATCGCCGCCGCCATCCGCAAGACCGACGAGTGTCTGGACTGGAAGATCTGCTACCGCGACCCGATCCCGACGTGGGTCAGCAAGAACCACCGCGTCGCCCTGGTCGGCGACTGCTGCCATCCGCATCTGCCGACGAGCGCTCAAGGCGCTAGTCAAGCGACCGAGAGCGCGGCCGTGCTGGCACAGTGTCTCCTCCTGGCTGGGAGGGATAATATTCCGTTGGCGGTAAGCTGGGCTTTTTTCTTGTTTCCTGTCGCCTTCCCCAATTCCCTGACATGATTGATCATCCATCATTTGCGTGTCCCACCCCTGATGGCTCTCCCAATACCTTTTCCGTGACACGCTTTGTTATACACTATTGACCCTTGTGCTCTCGGCACACAGACCCGAGTCTACGAAAAGATCCGCTTCCCGCGAGTGCGCCGTGCACAGACCAACGGCGAAGACCTCCGCGACCGATGGCACACGGCGCTGGACCGGATAGGCGACGGCGACGAGATTGACCGGGACTCCATTCTGATAAAGGTATGTAATGTACCTCTGTTTACGCAGTTCGTCCGTGTTCATCTAGTATTACTTCCATGCTTTGATTCCAACTTCTCACATGTCTCTGACTAGAACAACGTGCTTTACGACTACGACGCCGAAGCGGATACGCGCAAGCGATGGGCCGAGATGGCCGCGCTGGTGGGCGAGGAGCTGCGCACGGGCAAGATCTCGCCGCTGTGCTGATTTTCCTGCGAATTGTCGATGGATTATGTCCGGGGTTTGTTACGTTTTGGTCCATTTGTAACGCAAATTCATGCCGTGGTTTGTGGAGATGAGGTATGACGCCTTTGGACTTGCACGTGCTCCTGCAATGATCCCATGGCGTCTGATGGATTTTGGAGTGGTCAAGCAGGGGGAACAACAAGAAGTAGAGGACGAGGACGAGGACGACTAGGACTTGCGGTCAGAGAGTAGTAGAGAGCAGAGAGGAGGTCGAGCAGTCCGAGACGGAGTGTCCGACGGACTGACGCTGTCGACTTGTCTGTACCAATCTATATATCCAGGCTGTATCTGATCTTGATCTTGCTTGCTTGCCCTCTTCTCGCCAATTTGTGTCCTGCTAGTGGACTTGCACCCTTCCATAGCTACACTTCTTTGGCGACTTATCATGGTCTCCCTCGTCCTCGAGTACTGGATTGATCCATCGACACACCCTTCTCCCCTTAAGACACAAATTCTCTTGTCACCCAAAGTCGATTAATTCCTCCACCTCCATCCTTTCAACTAGCTAAAGCTGCCAACCCACTTTAGCCAGCTCTCTCACTCAGAGGTCTCTCGGAGAGGCTACCCATCTACCTTTCTGCCTACAGTATCTACCCATCCATCCTGTCTCGTGACAAGTCTACAACTTCGGCACGACCCCATCGTTTAACAAATCCCTGCGATCGCCATCCAGAATCTCCCACCCTTTACCTCTGAAGCGTTTGCCCCAAATGCCGTTGCGCCCTGGAGCCAGGACACTGTTCGGGTCGAGGGCGTCCTTGATGGTCTCGTTGAAGCGACGCAGCGCGCCGCGCCCCCAGCTGTACGTCTCGGCGACCTGGTCGGCGAAGAGGAGGTGGGTGCGGTACTCGCCGTAGCCCTCGCGGGCGGCGGCGCGGATCATGTCGCGCATGAGGGCGGTGGCGCGGGTCTTTGCGTCGCGGTCGGCGCGGTCGTAGACGATGTTGGCGATGTAGTGCATCTCGCGGCCGGCGACGCACATGGTGGGGAAGACGTCGAAGCCCCAGCGGGCGTGGAGCGCCGTGATGGTGCGGTGCAGCAGGGCCGCGTCCTTGCCCCGCGTCGGCGAGATGGGCGAGAAGAACAGGTGCGCCGCGTTGGGCACCCAGTTGAGCCAGTCGAGCTCCTTGAGCACCGGCACCCCGCTGCACACCTGCACCCGCGAGTGGAGGTAGTGGTCGCCGGGGAGGGAGGAGGGGAGGAGGAACTTGCTGCCGGGGATCTGCCCGAACGCGGCTTTGATGGTGTCCAGCTGCGCCGCCACCGACGCCGCGTCGTCGCCGTACTGCGTCCCGTAAAACACCCACGAGCAGTCCCCGCAGGGCAGTTTCGCGGCGTGTTGGCGAACGACCTCGCGGGGCATGGGCCCTTTCTTCCCGGCATCATCGTACCAATACGACCGGGGCTTCCCCGTCACGGCCAACTCCTGAATAACATGCCTCAGCTGGGGGATGTTGCCCAGCACGCGCCGCTGCGCGAGGGGCCGGATGATCTCGACGATGCGCTCCAGGTCGTCCTCGCGCGGGAACGTGATCATGTACGACTGGTGGTGGCGGACCGCGGGCATCAGCCAGAAGCCCATCTTGGTCACGATCCCGTAGTTGCTCTGGCTGAAGATGCCGTCGACATAGGGGCCGTAGGCCGCCTGGAACGACTGCCACGTCGGGTTGTCGGCGCCGTTGGGGCCGGGCATTGCCCCCATGCCCGTCCGCAGGAGCTCGCCCGTCGGCAGCACCAGTTCCATGCCGCAGTGGTTGGCGAAGTGGTCGCCGTAGGGGGTGTATCTGGCAAGGGAGAGGTTAGTCGGGGTTTTGTCTGATAACAAGTCTTCCTCGTCAGGAGGAGTGAAAGAATGAATACGTACCCAACACCCCGATCGATCGCATTCCCTAGGACACTCCCACCCCCGAGATCGGGACAATCGATCCAGAGCGGCAACCCCCTGCGCTGCACCTCCTCGTACAGGGCGAAATACGACACGCCAGGCTCGACCACACACGAGGCATTGTCCCCGTCCACATTGAGGATGCGGTTCATGCGCCGGCCGAGATCGACGACGACGGAGCCAGGAACCCGGGGCGCCGCGCCGCCGTACCCGATGTTGCGGCCCATGGAGATCGGGTAGATGGGGATTTTGTGGGTGTTGGCCCAGCGCACCACGCTCTGCACCTGTGCCGTGTCGCCCGGGTACACGACGGCGCTGCAGACGAGTTCGTCCTGCTCGGCGATGTGGTATGCGTCGTGGGTGTTGCTGCCCCTACTCAGTTTCCATACCATACACACACACACACACACACACACACACACACAATAATAGAAGAAAAAAAAAATAAGAGAGAGGGAGAGAGAATGGACAAAACGTACGGATGCTCCATGTACCACCCGTCGACCAACGGGCCGTCGTTGACCTGGACATTCTCGTCGCCCAGCTGCCCCTTCAACTCGGCCACAGCTGCGTCAAAGGTCTCCTTGCTCACGTCCGGCGGGAGCACCACTGCCCTCCTCCGAGCCACGCTGTCTGGGAGCGTCTTTTGCGAATACAGCCTCGCCTTCGCGTCAATGGCTTCCTGGGCCAGTCTTCTGGGGACACCGCTGTATCGCGTTGTGAGGTCTGGGATGGAACCACCACCCGCAGAGGACGAGGCTGAGTCGGCCATTTCCTGTGATTTGTTCCTCTGAGAAGCGACGATCCTTCAGGTAAACAAGGGGGGGGCAAGACGGGGTCAAAAAGGACGCTGGACTCGTTGGTGGTCACAGCTAAACGGCAAAAAGTCCATGTTTAGAACTACTTGAACGGGCAACTGCTTTTGCCCCACGACAATAATATTATATTTCAAAGGGTTGAAAGCATCTCTAGGAAACTGCCAGGCCAAAGCTGCAGCTCCGCAAGCCCCTCATTTTCCCAATCTAGCTGGTGGACGCCGGTGGTCACTAGTGGTGGTGGTCCCTATCCGAGGGTGTGGATACAAGGATGGATGGGTATTTTCCCCATGGGCTGGACGGTCCTCAAAAAGCTCTCCCACACAAAACAATGCTGATGCCGGCTTGTCGAGCACTCCTTGGCCGCGCCAGAATTCCGAGGGCAATTGCGAGAATGCGAACTGCCGTGGTGTCGTACCCAGCCTCGTGCCGGAACCCAAGAAGCCTTTCAGGCTGGCTTTCCTGACCGTGGAGATCTTTCTCTGTTCCAGGGGTTCCTATTCCCACGTCTGCTCTGCCACTAGTCGAGCCACCTAGGGTCGCATTAAGAGGTGCATTCGCAGCACAACCAACATATTCAAGCCGGGTGCCCAGACATGGTCCATAGGGTAATGCCCTCGGCTCTCGCAGCATTCGAGAGGTAGTCTTTTGGCGCTTTGGCGGAGCACATGGCACAGGGTAGAGAAACACAGTTACGGGCGCCCAGGTCAACCGAACCTAAGTCGTGTGTTGGACGTTGATCGCCCTCTAGGTCGTTGACCGCGCTTGTCGCAACGTTTCTGAGGTTTCTCACAACATCTTCGACCGGACTTCAAGGAACTGCATAAATCACCGAAGTTTGGCGAGACTGAGGTTGGCTGGTAGTTTCCAAGGCGTCCCCGAGACCAAGGCACTCTCTAACACTCACTGTAAAGACCATGCCAATGTTTTCCGAAGCGTTATCTCGTCTAGCCGGAACATCGAGTTCGTAATAGGCCGTCGTAGTTGAGGGTCAAACATAAAGGAGCAGACCACACGCGCGTCGTACATCCTCGTCCTCGAGCATACAGCAGCTGCATCGTCAAGTCGTCTTTCACCTCTGTAGAATCTTCCTCAAGTGTGCACCTTGGCTGTCGCAATCTGCCTCAAGAGGCATAAAGTCCAAGGGAGGACTCACTCCCCTTGCTGCCCTGCCGTTCATGCTCGACTCGCTCATCCCATCGTCACTGGCACCTCCCTCTCTGTGGGCAAACCCGCCCGAGGAGTTTGTAGGTGCCCCGTTTATGCTACTGGAGGTGCTGCTGGCGCTTTTCTTGTGCTCGAATCTCAACACAATCATCTTGACAAGCGTCCAATAACTATCGGCTGAAGTTTCAAACCCCATTTCGCTGACGTTGGCGCGAGTCAGCTTGGCACGGATATCATCCCACAGGGTCTTCCAGTTGGCCAGGGCAATCTTCATCGGTTCGTATACAAGATGCGGTTCCGCAGCCAGCGAAGTGGCCGATATTCGATTGAGCGGGTTTCCGAAGAGATGCTGCCAACAGTGGGTATACAAAACTTGAGAGTCAATTAGCGCCACGTCCAACGAAACTCCTCTGCAGCAAGGATTCGTGCAAGTCCATACCGTGGCTTAGGTAAAGCATATCCCAACAACACAAATTCTCGTTCTGATATGCCGCCTTGAGCTCGCTAGGATGGACGAACAGTTTCTGGAAAGCTTCGATCAACTTCATCCGCGGACGAGGAAATGAACCCTGCTGCAACATTTCCGCATAGCCTGACAACTCAAAATACTCGGGATGACACGGCAGCTGGAGGTCAACTTCGCAGTAATTGATGCGCGGAGGGACGTTGTTGAAAATGCCCATGGCGGAGTCGAGGGCGAGAATCACATTCATCGTCCTAGAATCGAGTGGTCAGACACGAGAGCCGTCACTAGACGACAATACAAGACAGAAACATACCGAATGCGTGCCTCAATCCGCACCCAGCGCTGAAAAGCAATGTCGTCCGGTATTGCAACAATGTTCGAATGCTGCGCTGATGGCAAGCCGAAATATCGACCGAGCTGAAGTCAAGTTAGCCATGAACAAGTGTGTGGGCAAAGCTGACTGACACTCAGCATTGAAGGAAACCTCTGCCTTCTGGCTCTTCTACGGCCGGCTAGATTGCCTGAGAAGTACTGGACAATGACCACAAGATAGGCCCCTTGAAATAATTGAAAGTGATATTCCACGGCATCCTCGTCTGGTGCTTCCAAAACCCCCAATGTGCCAAAGAATTCGTCCCTTACCTCTGGCAGCGAGAAGACGTATGACTCGATAAGGTCCAGAAGACCCTTCATCCAAGCGACCTTTGTCGGTTCCGAGTACATAGCCCCAAGTGCGACACAGCCCAGCACAAGAGGTATAGGGGCAATCGTTGGCTCAAACGACGGGCGATGAATTATCGGACAGTGCCGGTAGTAGTTGTTGAAGAATAGATTAAGGCAGTGGTCTATTTCGACATGGGTGAGGAGTCCGATGTTTGTCTCCAAGTGCGCGAGCTGAGGACTGTCCGGATACTCGATTGCAAACTTGGTGGCTGCGCCCATCAACAACTGTCTAATCTCATAGGCGCGAGGCTCCAGCGTCAGAGCAGCAGCAGAAACAATACCCGTCCCACTAGTAATGTGTTGTAAGTCGGCGTTCGGGGGATACGAGCCAAAAGTTAGGCTCTCGAAGCCTCCGAAGAAAGAGTCAAAATTTACGACATCCAAATCGGCCAGACTTGCACCGGTAAAGACGTCGTGGGATTCATAGTCCTCGCTCCAATGCGAAGCTTCGGACGAGTCCTCTGCATCGTTGACCGTCACATCGTCCTCGTCACCACCGCCTGGAGGTGTGTCTCGAACCGGGAACCGGGGGGCCAGATCATCCCCATCAGGGGCATTCAACAAATGATGGATGGGTATTGCATCCCGACTCTTAGGCCTGGCAGCCTCTTCTCTTCGTGAGCTGGATAACGCTGCACACACAGGTTAGCAGTCGTCCAACTTGGTGGCAGCCATGACCACTTACATCGGATGCATTCCTTCCCAAGTTCCTGGCAGCGAGTGCAGGGGGTTTCTTGATCACATTTCGTCCTCAGTTTCACGCAAGAAAGGCATGAAGACCTCTTCCGTCCCTTGGATTGCCCCTCAGGTACCGGCGCGGAGCCGCGCTCCTTGCATCGAAATTGATGAGCTCGAAGGACATCACTAAGACAAACATTAAGAACCACCTCTTTGCTTTTGATTGGCGACATGGGTATTACCTTCGCTTAAAGCACTTGGAACAGAAGTTACATGTAAAGGGCCTCTGTGCGACATCTACACAAACAAAGTCAGCACACGCAAAAGCAGACCAAGTTGGGTTTTGTAGAGCCACAGACGTTGCTGCTGATGCCGGAGCATGTGCGCCTTTCGCACAAAAGACTTGGAACACGACGGGCATTGAAACCGGTCCTGCCATTGACGGGTCTGATCCATCATTGAGACTGTCATCGGTAAGTGGGATTAGAACTGTCAACACGGATTGGGGGCGTGCAACGGAGCCAATAGGCTGGCGGATTGCTGGGGAAGATCGGTCGATATTCTCAATGCCAGATTTCGGCAACATAAATATCACACCTTCCACAGCGCGTACTGAAGCCGTCACAGCATGGCGATCACCTGTGGTCGCAGGGTGTGGTTCTCTAGAGGTATCGTATCGTCGGAGATCTACCGATGACCTCAGTGGACAAGAATGGAGCGAGTTTGGACGAGATTGACAAGATGGATGTACTTGTCCGTTGTCGGATCCTGTGGGCTCGGATGACCTGGTCAGGCGGACTTTTGCGTTGTAGTGATCCGGTGAGAATGGCACAGTGGTACACGAGGTGGTGGTGGCATGCAGACGGGTTTTTGATATAGTCGTCCAGGAGAAGTGACAACCAGCAGCCGAGGAGCTGGAGGGGGCAAGCAGCTGAGGAAGAGGACGGTAGTGATGATGACGATAATGGGTAGGGAACTCAACCTCGTGTCTGGGACGGGGTTTGATGGGTGGATCTGGCGGGTTAGTGAAGTAATAATCCATGGGGCGGGGAAGCGAAGAGAGAAGGATGAGGGAGAAGTCATGCGAGCGCAGTCTGGGTCGTCCATACAAAATGCACAGTTCTTGGTTTTGGCTTTTGCCTAAAGTTGCTCCCAGTACAAGTAGCTCGGTACAGACAGCCAGAGAAGGATGACAGGTGCCCGTCGGCCCCCCAGGAGCCCCCATTGTCCAATGCCCAGTGTCTCTGAACATGTTTCTGCCACATGGTTCTAGGCTTCTTCCAGGTAAACCCGGGGCTAAGGGTCGCCTAAACGCTACACTTGCGCATGCCCAGCGCGTGGTTGCCGGGTTTGTGACCTTTACCCCATCTGCTTTGGCCAGCCGGCACGCATTCTCTCTTCTAATTGTGTCCACCTAAATATCCGGGGGAAATAAGGACCGTCGAGCACATGTGCTGTCCATACGAGCACCTCGTATTACTCATTCATGAACCACGATACCCTCATACTTGCAAAATTTTCAAGAACAACGCGGAGACTCTTCGCATACAGAGCCTCCGTGGGTGCCACCGTCGCCACCACTCGACAATATCGTCCCTCCGCCCTCCACCTCGTTCCCTGCGGTCTGTGGGATGAGAACTGCGTTCGCTCCATGGGCCGATCTCTTAACCACCTCCCGCATCTGACTTGGCAGATGTTCTCGCTTCCTGAACTACTGAAAATGCACCCCGGAGATGCTACCAATCCGAGATGCATTGTCTCCCTCTTCACGGGTCGGATGTTGTGGTGTCTCTCACCGCCATTGCGCCAAAGCGCAACCGCAATTTAGAGGATTCACAACTTGACGGAACCAATAACTTCCTTGTCCAGCCTCTGCGTGTTGACCATCTCCGGGACAATCTCAGTGATCCTAGTGGCTCCAGATAGGGCCATGTTGCCTTGGAGCTCTTCGCGCAAGATCTGGACCATTCTTCTAAACCCAGCTTCTCCATAACCACCGGTGAGGCTGAACAAGAAAGGTCGCCCCAGCCCGACTGCACGCACCCCCAAGGCAAGGGCCTTTAGGATATCGGTACCGCGCCGAATCTCCCCATCCAAGAAGACCTCCATTGGGCCACTGAGCAGATGCGGCGCATACCGTCGGATCTCTAGCAGAGTGATCATCGGCGCTTGTGCCCTGGACGCAACAATTAGGTTTCGTTCAAAGTGCGGAGACGAGACATGACTGACGTATCTTGGGATCGACCTCCGTGGTTGGACAAAACAATTCCTTCCACCCCGTTTTCGTACGCGAGTATGGCATCTTCGACACTCTGGATCCCCTTGAGAACAAGGGGGAGTTGGGTCACTTGACGGATCCATGCAATATCACTCCAGGTCAACGTCGGGTTCAGCAGGCCACTGGCAGCCGCTTTGGCCACCCCGGGCTTCTGTTCCTCGAGCGTGACATATTCGTCCTCGCCGCTGATCTGAAATCGTGTCAGAAGTGCCAGGCACGTTCTTTCACGCGCCGGCGGAGTGGTCTACCTACGTGAGCCTTTAATCGATCGTCACGTTCCCGCTTTCCAAGAACCGGCGAGTCCACCGTCAGCCAGATGGCACTCACGCCCAGTTTCTCGACACGACGGATCATCGCTTCGGTCTTCTGGTAGTCTCGATTGAAATATAGCTGGAAAAAAACAGGCTGATTCTGACTGATCCGTGCGCGCATGATGGCCTCGATTGACATGCTGGGGCTCGTGGGTATTACCTGGATCAGGCCTTCTTTCCCAGCTCCGGCAGCTAATGCGCATTCCGCGTCCGGATGCGCGTACCTCGCCAGCCCCGAAGGGGAAACATAGACGGGCAAGCTGGTATTGTGGCCAAGAATGGTGGTTCTCGTGTCGACATGATCCACGTTGCGAAGGACACGAGGACGCAGTGTCAGCTTGCGGAATGAACGAGCAGCTTCGTATCTGCTACGTTCATCGTCTGCTCCCGATGAATAGTAGGCCCATCCGGCAGGACTGAGGGATTGCTTTGCCACTGCTTCGAAGTCATTGACACTGATCATTGACCTTAGGGGTCGGGACCGCTTTTGCTTCTGCTGTGGTCTTGGTTGTGATGTCGACTCTGTCTTTGGCATCGTGTCCGGATCGATGAGCCCTCGAAATGCAGACGAGGGAAGGGTCTCTTCCAGCAACTCCGGACTGTGCACACTCTCGTACTCGGCCGTGGCATCCTGACCCGCAGTCTTTAAGAGAATCTGTGGCCCGCCGGGATGTTGGTCGAGAAAGTCTGCAGCATGGTGTGTTGATCTAGTGGCCCAAGACTGGCTCCGATGCACGCACCTGTGATGTCGTAGACTTTGCCGTACAGAGCGATCCAGCACGACTGGCGATCATTGTGCCTGGCGACTTGGGAACTCTTTAGCTTCTTCATCCTCGCCTTGGAGGTTTCTGGGGTCGTTTATCGCGCGAGTTGACGTGGCATACGCTTGTCAACTTGTTAAAGGACTTGTAAGTACCCAGTTCGCTGCTTGCCTCCTTGGAAGCCGAGACAAGTCGAGTGTCATTACGAGGTGCACAGGAGTCGGGCATTGAACCGATGCTGTACCTTTGTACCGAGGGAACCGGGGAACCGGGGAACCAGAGCACCCACTCGAGGAGTATTGGTGTCGATCCCCCCGCTGATGCCGTCTTGCCGCGTGAATTACCCCAAGACCGAAGCTTGCTTCACTTGGAAAGGACCTATAAACGAGAATCATCTGTCCCTTGAAGAGGCTGACCTCCATCTGGCTTGCTGCGTTATCTCAACGAGCCATGATAGGCGATTAGCCATTGCAAGGTTAGAGTTGATGATGACATTCCTTGTGTCAGACAAAGAATGTTGTTTTTGTATGTCACCGAGGATGCCCCATGCCAGGCATGCCTGGGTGCCAGGTAAAGTACGGAGAATAACCTTATATGTTTGGCAGAAGTGTGGAGCAGCACCGCCTGTACCGCCTGTAGTGCCTGTACTGGGTAGGTACTGTACGTAGTGGCGATAACGAACCCCCACGCTGACGACCGGTCACCCCGTCTGACAACACCCACAGCACATACGCGCAATACCTAACCTGCTAACCATGTTTTGAAAAAACTCGTCTCGCGAACAGAGGGAAAAAAGAGCGATAAGCCCCCGTATTCAAGACTAGTTTGTCTTCTGAAGGGCGTCAGTCTCGGCATCCCTGAGCCCAAGCCGCATTGGGTCAGTTTCACAACAATTGCGTCGGTTACCATCGAGAAGAGGCGGGTGTGTATGTATGTATACATACCTATCTGTGGGAGGAAAATTTCCTCCCTCACTCGAACTCTGACCTGACTGACCACGAGAGCAGAGAGCAGAGAGTGTCAAGGTCGAACGACGACGACGACAACAACAACAACAACCCGCGTCGCATATAAGAGTCCGTGCCTAGTGCCAATACCTTTGACATGGCACAGGCTCTCAATGTCATGCTCTATGGGCTGGGCGCGTACGTTCTTTGGTCGCTAGACTCGAGAGGCTCGACTGATTGGCGGCCAGGATCGGCTCATTTTACGCCTTCGTCTTGAGCCGCAGCCAGCGTGTCCGGCTGACCGTGGTGGCTCGTTCCAACTACGAGGCTGTCAAGCAACACGTACGTACGACCTTTGCATAGTTGGCTATTTCGTTCCCGAAATTCGATCCGAACGAGGAACGTCAAGGCTAATCACTGTTGATCGTAAATGTCCTACAGGGTCTACACATCAAAAGCGAGAATCACGGCGACCACATCGTCCATCCGGCCAAAGGTGAGCAAAAATCCTCGACTCACCCGTGCTCCGGACGAGGAGAATGTATGGCACGCCGCTGACAAAGGAGTTGCAATTAATTGTCGGATTCAGTGGTTCGCACACCGGCCGAAGCAGGAGAAACGTACGACTACGTCGTGTGCGCGCACAAGGCCATCAACCAGGCATCAGCCACCAAGCAACTGGCGCCCGCGGTTGACGGGAGCAAGACGTGCGTGGTCATTATCCAGAACGGTGTCGGGAACGAAGACCCTTTCCGGGAAGCGTTTCCCAAGAGCCCGATCTTGAGCTGCGTGGTACGTGATCTTCCTATCAAAACCCCCCCCCCCCCCCTCCCTCTTCCTGTCCCCCCCGGCCCTCCTGTCTAATCCGCCACACGTACATTCTTCAACTGACGGATGAGTACACACAAGACGTGGGTCGGGGCCAGCCAAAACACGCCCGGGACCGTTCACCACTGGAAATCGGAAAACACGCAGATCGGCATCTTCCGCAACCCGGAGCTGGACCCGGCGGTCGAACAGGCGCGGCTCGACGAATTCACGTCGCTGCTGCGCGAGGGCCACACGCCCTTCTCGGTCGAGGACAACGTGCAGATCCAGCGGTGGGAGAAGGTGGTGTGGAACGTGGCGTGGAACTCGCTGACGACGCTGACGATGCTGGACACGCACGCGTGGCTGAGGTCGTCGCCCGACGCCATGCCCCTGACGCGCAACCTGATGCGCGAGGTCATCGACGTGGCCCGCCGCTGCGACGTGCCCCTCCGCTACGAGCTGGTCGACGAGCTCATCACAAAGATCCAAGAGATGCAGCCCATCGGCAGCAGCATGCAGACCGACGCCAAGATGGGCCGTCCCATGGAGGTCGATGTCATCCTGGGCACGCCCGTGCGCAAGGGCAGGGAGCTGGGCCTGTCCATCCCGATCCTCGAGGTGCTGTATACCTTGTTGCTGGCGGTGGATTCGCGGATGAAGCCCAGTTCGTCATAAAGTCTGTGGAGGGATTAACATATATCCCTTTGTGCCGAGAGTTCTGCCGTACTAAATTTAGGCTGAATTGAAATGTCTGACCGAAGTTTATTACTGTTGACGTTCTTCGCCAAAGTTAGGCGGCTAGGCGGGTTCCCAAATTTGGGATTCCAACACAATAGTCCCTGACGATCGTCTGACAGAGTTATTTGATAAGGTATATATTAAGTGTACGGAGCACTATATGTATATTGTACTACGGTAACATTCCATACCGATCCAGGTGGGGAGGTGGTTAAGTAAGAATCTATACCACCTTCTCGTCGCCACCCGCTGATGCCGCCTGTAGTGCGTTACCATAATAGCCTCCTTGTGCGTTGACATCGGCACCCTTCTCGAGTAGTATCTGTACTACCTTCTCGTGGCTACCCGCTGATGCCGCCTGTAGTGCGTTACCATAATCGCCTCCTTGTGCGTTGACATCGGCACCCTTCTCGAG